CTTCACCCAAGAAGACGCCGAAGGAGTTCATTACCCCCACTGCGATGCGCTGGTGGTGAGGGCTGTCATAGCCCGAATGGGCTCAAACGAATGTTAGTCGACAATGGTAGCTCCGTCAACATCTTATTCGGGTCCGCCTTTGACAAGATGATATTGGACCATCAGTTGACGCCCACCACCACTCCGTTGTACGGATTTACCGGAGATAGCATTACTCCTAGAGGAAAGATAACACTGGCAGTGGAGATGGGAGAATCTCCCCAAACTACGATGAACTTCATGGAATTCCTCGTAGTTGACAGCCGGTCGGCTTACCACGGAGTCTTGGACAGACCGGCCCTAAAGGAATTGGGAGCAGTCACCTCCATCCACCACCTATGCATGAAATTTCCAACAGAAAATGGGGTAGCAACGGTGAAGGGCGACCAGAGAGGTTCGAGAGAGTGCTATCTAAGCTCCATTAAGAAGGTAGAGCCCCGGGACATCCATGTGATCATAGCTGATGTGGTCATGGCAGATGTCCCAGGTGACGCTCCCACTGACCAGGAAGACGTTGATATGATTGACGCACCGCTGAACCAGGAGGTGCTGGTCGTTGATGAGATCGACCCCCGCATAATGGAACATGAGCCTCAAGCATCCCCCGTAGAGGAACTTGAGAGCTTCTCAGCCGACCCTCGAGACCCGTCTAAGGTGTTGAAAATAGGCAGGGGCTTATCCAACATTTTAAGAGAAAAGATCAAGGACTTCCTAGGCAAGAACCTTGACGTCTTCGCCTGGAGACATGAGGACATGGTAGGCATAGACCCCAAGGTCAGCTGCCACCACTTGAAAATCGATCCTAATTTCGCCCCGCATAGACAAAAAAGGAGAGCCCTCAATCCAGAGAGGTATGAGGCCCTAAAGGAAGAGGTTCAGAAGCTCATCCAAAATGGTTTCATCAGGGAGGCCACTTATCCGAAGGGGGTCTCCAACCCGATCTTGGTTAAGAAACACAATGGCAAATGGAGAGTATGCATCGACTTTACCAACCTTAATAGAGCTTGCCCGAAAGATAGCTTTCCGCTTCCAAGAATTGACCAATTGGTGGATTCCACGGTCGGGCACGAGTTGTTGAGCTTCATGGATGCATACTCCGGCTACAACCAGATCCCCATGCACCCGGCCGATGAGGAGCACACCTCTTTCATCACGGACCGATGTCTCTATTGCTATAGAATGATGCCTTTCGGGTTGAAAAATGCCGGAGCAACTTACCAAAGACTCGTGAACAAAATGTTTACCGACCTCATTGGCAAGACAATGGAAGTTTACGTGGATGACATGCTGGTAAAGAGCCTAGAAGCAGAGAACCACATAGTGCACCTCAACGACACCTTCCAAATACTGAGAAGGTACAGGATGAGGCTCAACCCTTGAAATGTGCCTTTGGGGTGGCTTCCGGCAAGTTCTTGGGGTACCTGGTCAACCAGCGAGGAATTGAAGCAAATCCCAAGAAGATTGAGGCTCTGTGCCAGATGAGGTCCCCTCAAAAGCCAAAGGAGGTGCAAAGCTTAACTGGACGAGTGGCAGCACTTAGTCGCTTCGTCTCCGAAGCAACTGACAAGTGCCTCCCATTTTTCAAAGTGCTCAAGGCTGGGAAGAAATTCCAATGGACTGAGGAATGTGAAGAGGCCTTCCAAGGACTGAAAAGGCACTTGGGGCAGGCCCCTCTCCTTTCCAAGCCGAAGCCCGATGACATCTTGCAACTATATCTCGCCGTCTCCAATGACGCCATCAGTTCGGTTTTGATTCGAGAAGAAGGGCCCACCCAACTTCCCGTCTACTATACGAGTAAAGCGCTCCTATCGCCGGAGACCCGATACCCCGATATGGAGAAGCTTGCTTTGGCCTTAATCACGGCCTCAAGGAAATTGAGACCCTACTTCCAAGCTCATACCATCCACGTACTTACAAATTTTCCCCTGAGGCAAGTACTCCAGAAACCCGATGCCTCGGGAAGATTGTTGAAATGGGCAGTGGAACTAAGTGAATTTGACATTGTGTTCAAAGCAAGGGTAGCCATCAAAGGGCAAGCTTTAGCAGACTTCGTTGCTGAATTCGCCAACCTACCCGAGGTGGATGAAATCATGGAATCCGTCGAACCTCCCACGTGGAGCCTCTTCGTCGATGGCTCGGTTGGGGACGTCGACTCAGGTGCCGGGGTTGTCCTCATCAGTCCTGAGGGTCACAAACTCACCTCGGCCGTGAGGTTCAGATTCAAAGCCACCAACAATGTTGCAGAGTATGAAGCACTCCTTGCAGGCCTCAGACTGGCCAAGGAAATGCAAGTAAAGATGCTACTCGTCAATAGCGACTCCCAGCTGGTTGTTAGCCAAGTCAGTGGTAATTTCTCAGCCAAAGACAGAACAATGGCCTCCTATCTGAAAATGGTGATGAGCCTCATCCCATCCTTTGAAAAGTTCGAATTAACCCAGATTCCCCGCATCGAAAATGCCATGCGGATGCACTCTCGAAGCTGGCTAGTAGCAAAGACTCAGAGCTACTCACTGTAGTGCCTATTGAGCACCTCCTACTGCCTTCTACCGAGGCCCCTAATGTCATGTGGGTCGGTGGAACTCCCACCTGGATGCAACCAATTATAGCATATCTGAAAGACCGGGTGCTACCCACCAACAAGAATGAGGCTTACAAGATGAGAAGGAGGTCAGCCCATTTCCTCTTCATCGATGACATTCTCTACAAGAGAAGTTTCTCCTCTCCACTCTTACGATGCGTCGGAGGAGAAGAGGCTACATACATACTAAGAGAAGTCCACGAGGGAGTGTGCGGCAACCACTCTGGAGGCCTATCTCTGACACAAAAAATACTGAGGCAAGGATACTACTGGCCTACCCTGAAACGGGATGCCTTCGAATTTGTGCGAAAATGTGACAAGTACCAACGATTCTCTCTCGTTCAAAGACGACCATCACAGGATTTGACTAGGGTCTCCAGCCCCTGGTCTTTCTCAAAGTGGGGTGTGGACCTCATAGGCCCTCTACCAAAGGGTAGAGGAGGCGCAAGTTTTACAATTGTGGCCATTGATTACTTCACGAAGTGGGTTGAAGCTGAACCACCGGCAAAAATCACAGAAGCAAACACCTCCAAGTTCCTATGGAAGTATATCATTTGCCGGTTCGGAATTCCCTACTCGATCGTCTCAGACAATGGTAGGCAATTCGATAACAAGAAGGTTAGAGAACTGTGTGAAGATCTTGGCATAAAGAAGCACTTCTCTACACCTCACCACCCACAAGCTAATGGCCAAGTCGAAGCCGTAAATAAGACAATCAAGCACGTCCTGAAAAGGAGGCTTGATGTGTCCAAGGGAGCTTGGGTTGATGAGCTGCCCCAAGTACTTTGGGCAATCCGAACCACCACCAGGACCCCAACCAGCGAGACCCCTTTCCTCATGGCTTTTGGGACTGAGGCGATGAGCCTCGTGGAGGTCGGACTTCCATCTCCACGGCGTTTGCACTTCAGCGAAGTGACCAACGACGAGCTCCTGAGGCTAGACCTCGATTTCGTTGAAGAAAGGAGGGACGACTCCCAGCTGAAGCTAGGCACCTACCAAAGGAAGATGACAAGGTACTTCAACTCCAAAGTCAAGAAGAAGTCTTTCCGAATCAACAATCTTGTGCTCAGGAGGGTCTTCCCACCTTCAAAAGAACCCGGTTCCGGCTCCCTGGGGCCGAACTGGGAAGGTCCATACAAGATCAGAGAAGAAATCCGACCTGGAATCTACTGGATTAAAGACATGGACGGCAAGGCACAACCCCGTCCATGGAACATTGAACACCTCAGAATCTTTTATCAATGAATTGTATCATGCTGGATGACTTTCCCAGCCTTTGTAATATTTTCATGGCTCAATAAAAAACGTTGATTAAATCGTCATACTGCGTCGTCACCTCAGAGGAGAGGGTCGGGACCCACCTCTGGGCCACCTCGCTTGGACTCCGAGGCGCTAGCACATGCCTCCCTTTTGGCCTTGCTGGAAGCCAAGGGGAGAAGCCTCAACATGACTGTACCATTCACCATGTCTGGGATGCGTCGTCACCTCGGAGGAGAGGCTCGGGACCCACCTCTGGGCCACCTAGCTTGGACTCCGAGGCGCTAGCACATGCCTCCCTTTTGGCCTTGCTGAAAGCCAAGGGGAGAAGCCTCAACATGGCTATACCATCCACCATGTCTGGGATGAGTCGTCACCTCGGAGGAAAGGCTCGGGACCCACCTCTGGGCCACCTCGCTTGGACTCCGAGGCGCTAGCACATGCCTCCCTTTTGGCCTTGCTGAAAGTCAAGGGGAGAAGCCTCAACATGGCTGCACCATCCACCATGTCTGGGATGCGTCGTCACCTCGGAGGAGAGGCTCGGGACCCACCTCTGGGCCACCTCGCTTGGACTCCGAGGCGCTAGCACATGCCTCCCTTTGGCCTTGCTGAATGCCAAGGGAAGAAGCCACAACCTTAAGTCCGAGGCTCCAACAGTTATGTTCATTTGCTTAAGTCCGAGGCTCTTATGTTCATTTGCTTTAGTCCGAGGCTCCAACAGTTCATCTCCTTAAGTTATGTTCATTTGCTTAAGTCCGAGGCTCTTATGTTCATTTGCTTTAGTCCGAGGCTCCAACAGTTCATCTCCTTAAGTTATGTTCATTTGCTTAAGTCTGAGGCTCCAACAGTTCACCTCCTTAAGTTATGTTCATTTGCTTAAGTTCGAGGCTCTTATGTTCATTTACTTTAGTCCGAGGCTTATACAGTTGACTGATTAATGCAAGGGAGCCAAGTTAAAGTTATTTAGTACGTGCTCTAATCAACTTCTAGTTCGCTTGTTTAATGAGGCACAAAAACTTGGATAAAGAACAACAATTAGTGGAGAAAAACATTATATTAATATTCAAAAGGAATTACAAAGGAGGGCCTCTGGCCATTACACAAAGTACTGAAAAGGAAACCTAATCTAAGCCTGGCTAGATGGAGGAGGCGCCTCAGCACTTGGGGGTTCGGCAACTTGGGCATCAGTAGTTGCTTCTTCTGCCTCAGCGCTTGGGGCTTTAGCATCAACTGCCTTGTCACCTTGCACCTCCTTAGCTGGGGTCTGAGGAACCTCATCCACAAATTCGGACCTAAGTTGTGCCAGGTCCAAGTTGGGATAAAGCTCCTCTGCCCTCTCCAGCACTCGGCATAGGCGAAGTTCCTCCAGTACGCGCTGAAGCTTTTGTACTCCTCTGTGGTGTGGAAGTTGGCGATGTATGCCTTCACCGCCTCTTCCGCTGCAGTTCGAGCCTCTTCTCTGGCAACCGAGGCGTCGTTCATGTACCACTTCACCTGGCCTTCAAGAAACTGATAAGCATCTCGAGTACCGGCCAAGGAGAGATTCGCCTGCTCAAGAGCCTCAGCAGTCACCTTTTGGTGCTCATTGGAGACCTCCACCTTCTTCGTCAAGGAGGCCACCTCGCACTGTGACTCATATACTTCCCTCTTTAAGGCCTCAATTTGGGCCAAAGCAGACTCGAGCTTCGCCGCTTCTTCAACCCTCTGTGCTTTTGCTCCTTCGGCCTCGGCCTTAGCAGCTTTGACCTCCTCTGCAAGGGAGGCAACCTTCTCCTCCGAGGCGTGAGTCCTTGTCTGAAATTCACTTAACGCCTCCCTGCATTCGAGCGCGAGGCCAAAAGTCCGGGCGCTTTGGCTCACCAGTGCCCTCGTGAGGTTGGTAGCATCATAAGACGAGGCATGAAGCTGCCACTTTTCTGTCCAGAACTTATAAAAGCTCTCGGTGGCACTTCTAATTTCCTCAGGGAAAGCCTCCACCAAGGCTGGGGCCAGCTCATCCTCCCTCCCAGCTAGGAAGTTTGGAGACTTCCCATTCTCCCGAACCGGCTTCCCCTTCGCCGCCTCCTCTTCGGCAGCTTCTGCAGCTCGCCTGGCAGCCTCTTCTCTGGCCTCTTCAGCCTCTACCTCTCTTACCATCTCCATTTTGATGGCCTTAGAGGCTGCCGCAAGGAGCTTCGGCTCACCAGTTTGTTCTGCCCTATGGGACACTGAAGTCCCAAACTTGCCAGCTGAGCTAGAGATGTGCACCAGCTTCCTCTTCTTAGTTTCCTCAGAGACTTTCTCCTTGTCCCGAGGCTCCTTAGGCTTTTCTGGCCTCTGAGTAGATGCCTCCTCCAAGGCCCTGGGAGTACAGTCCTTCGACAGGCGCTCAACCCTGCCTCGAACTTCCTTTGCTCCACTGGACCCAGGCTTCAGGGGCCTCGCCTTCGCAGTAGAAGTGGCCTTCAAGATGGAGGCCATGTCTGGAACTGGGTACTCCCTCTTCTTGAGTTTGTCTGCACAACGTAGATTATCATCAGCATAAGAAACATTCAGGATAAAAACATCAAGTGTTGGGGCCCCATACCTCTGGATGCCATCAGCTCGAAGTCCAAGAAGTATCTGCTTCTATCAATCAGGTGATCGAAGTGCCGAAGCTTCAGAGGCCTCTTGTAGATGTCCTCTATCACCTCAAATTCCTCCCTGCTAAGCTCGAACCTCGTACTACTATCTGCAAAGACAAACCTCCAACAGTTAGACGAATAAACATTCTAGTTTCAAAACACAAGCAGAGGTTGGGAGACTCACGAGCTTCGTAGTACTGGGTCGGCACTGTGCATAATAGGGCTCTGTCACCCTCCACCGCCTGCCATTTACCTCGCATCCAGAACCAGGACTCCTTCCACCCCTTAATAGATGAAGGAAGTCCCATCACAAAGGGTGCGTGAGCCCCCCAAGGCGTGAGGTAGTACCACCCCCTCGACTCCTTCCCAATTACCCGGGGCTGGAACAGGGTCATGAAGACATGAAGAGGCATGTCCTCCCCAAATGAAACTTCCTTCTACAGGAAGTAGGAGCCGACCAACTGGCTCCACCCGTTCGGCAGAACCTGGGTCGGGGACAGCATGAATTTCCTAAGCACCGCCCTAAAGAAGGGGTGCAAAGGAAGACGCATACCTGCTTTGAACAGGTATTCACTCACGGCCACGCATCCGAGCCTCGGATAGCAGGCCCACTCGTTCGGTTCGGGAACTAACATCTCTATGTTATGAGGCACACTGTACCTTTCCCTAAGTTCCCCCAACCTCTTCCCCGTCATGTTCGAGGGCACTTTAGAAGCCCCCCACTCCTGGGTATAATCCACAGCCTCCTCGGCCATGGCGTACCTATCCACCTCGGCCGTCCCCCCATGACCTACCCCATGACCTAAAGACGCCACTGTAACAAGCTCCCTACCCGAAGTGGACTCCATTTTTTCAGAACAAAGATAATAACAACTGTTTTTAATGCAAACAATACCTAGAGGAGTTCAACACAAATGGAGACTGGTCGGAATCTAATCGCAGACAACCTCGACGTCGAAAAATGGGAGATTTGAGAGAATTCGAGAACGCAAAGTGTTCAAAAATCCTGGAAAATGGGATTTTCTCGCCTTTTATAAAGGTCCAAAATGAACCCCACCCGTTAGATCACAACTCAGTCAATCCGAGCCCTCCATTTCAGATCCAATCCGAGGCGTTGAATTTAAACAGTTTTTTAAATCCTACGCCTCCGATCTATGCGTGCCTCCCACGCACCTCTCCAACACGTCTGCTTCTAGAAACGCCAGCTGCCCTCATAATTACACTTTAATTCGACGGTGCCACCACCTTGGAAGTCATAACGGTTCAGCTACCTTTCCTCGAAAACAAGCACAAAACATCAAATCATTGGCTTAACGACCAACGCACAATCATTACCGTTCAGCAACAAGCCTCGCAGGTTCGGTTCCTCAACCACCTCGGCTTCCTCTTCATCTTTCAGCAACAAGCTTCGCAGGTTCGGTTCCTCAACCACCTCGGCTTCCTCTTCATTTTTCAGCAACAAGCCTCGCAGGTTCGGTTCCTCACCACTTCGGCTTCATCTTCAAAAGTTCAACACCTCGCCTACTTCATCGCTCACCCACAGCAACACTTCTCTAACTCCAACCATGATATAAATATCTATACTTGGACTTGGGGGACTATTATTTGGGGTTCAAAAATTCTTTCAATTTTTTACTCCATTAAAGTCCACGCATTACATAAATGAATATACTTGGATTTGGGGGACTATTGTTGCGTGTTGTCACACCTGGCCAACCTACCTGAGACAATGGCCCACTCACGGCGATCCACGTGGCATTCCTGCCGAGGTGGCATACAATGCCGAGGTGGGGCTACATTCGAACTACTTTGAGCCGAAGCCCATCTGTCGAGGCTCCCTTCTGTCCGAGGTCCATTGACCGAGGCCTACGAACCGAAGCCCCGCTGCTGGAACCTGTTGAGAGCAGCTGAGGCCCTCAAGTGGAAGTATTATGACAAATGGCCGAAGCCCTGAAACTGATGCACGAGTTTTTGAACCACAAGGAAACATCCTCCATGGTCACTTCTCCCAAGAGATCGCCTGCACAGATCTTATTCGAATGATTGATGGAACGTTTGTCATAAACATAAAGGTCAAGTCTTATCACTAGCATGGAGGCCCTGCACAAGCAATAAGTGCGCCGTAAGGTAGCAAGTTAAGTCCCATGCCTAAGAACAGACGTTTGAACTAAGGAGATGAGGCCACGTGCCACTTCATCCAAGGGCTCCCATTCCATATGTATCACTATAAATACCCCCATTGTATAATGTCAAAGGCTAAAGCAAGAATCAATACTAGAGACTACATTTACTCAACTCTCTCTCATTTACTTGCAATACACAAATCGAATTCATACGCTTTTATACATACGTTAACAAGCACCGGTTGGTAATTATTGTACAATCGGATTACGAACAACCCGCCGGATTCCTAACGTTACCGTCCTACGTCGTTGGGCTACTCCCACGCCCCTTTGAACCGCTCGTTTTAGACCGTCCACGTGTCTTAGCGTGTCGGACATTCGCCCACGCAAGCGCGGGTGGGACCGGTATCTGTTGGCACACTTTTTGGGGTCAACAATAGTGTTTTTTTGAAAAATAAGTGGTTAAAAAAGAATGAAAATTGTTCGATTTATGTGTAATATTATTTTATAGAAAATTGTGTAGTTGAAAATGGGAGAGAGAAAAATAGAATGTATAATTCTGATTGTTGTGTTTAATCTTAAAATTCCAAAAGAAATCAATTTTCTTTTGGACTAAAAATCAAATGTAGATTGGATGTTACGACTTTTTAAAAGTACTGAGATTTTTCGTTCTTGAATGTCCAGATAATAAAAGAAAAAAAAATAAAATCTTACGGATTAACCTTGTAACGAGTTTATTAGAGAGGATTAGTTACACTTATCATTTGCACAACTTTTCCTTTGACTTTTTGAGGATAATATCGTACCCTCTGAACTGTTATAATTCGGATCAAATCTGAAACTATTTTGTTGAAAGCGGAGCAGTTCTGATACCATTTGTTATAATGCCAACCAAATAATTAAAGAACGATAAAATATGGAAATATTTGATCAAATAATTAACAAAATTTATGTGAAAGAAGAGGAAAATTTATTATATCAAGAAGCTAAATTTGTCTTTACAAGATTTAATTTTTTCGATCTAAATCTAAACAATTCTATCAAGTTTCTATATATATAACAATGATCTAATCATTATATTAAGTGTCTCTGGATGACTCTCAAAGTCAATCAAATAAATATGTGTAATGACTCACATTTTTATAATACAAGAGTCCCTAATCTATACTCTAGTCCCTGTTTGATGTCCATTACCTGGAAATGAAAATGAGGGGAATAATATTTTTTAGAAAAATAAGTGGTTGAAAAAAAAGAAAAAGTTTTCGATTTACGTGTAATATTATTTTATGAAAGATTGTGTGGTTGAAAATAAGAGAAAAAAATGGAATATAATGTAATTTAATTTAATGTGGATCAAAAATAATGGGGATGATCTGGTAATTACCATTACGAGTGTGAAAATGACAAATGGAGATCAATAACCAAAGCGTTGCAGTGGAAAATTTCGAAATTTTTAGAATTTGAAATTTTCGGGCTTAGTAGCGAGCCAAATCAAGCGGGGGTAATTACATGAGTACCCATAAAACTGGGAGCATTTAGAAAAGTCATGTTAAAAGTTGTTGTGAAGTAAAAAATACGTCAATTTGTGTCAGCAAATGTTTGTTTTAATTTTTCTTTACCAATAACCCCACCCTTCATTTTACCATCCTGACACTGTGACACATATCCTTCTTCACCCACCAACAAAACTACAGAATTCTATTCATTTTTTTTCGCCCCCAGGGCACATCTCCAAGTGGTAAAAGGGGAGGGTGGAGAAATTCAGCTTTACTTGAGATTGCCGCGTCAAGGGTTCGAATACTAAAATATGGATTTGGCTCTTGGGTAAGTGCAAGTGTACAAGTAGCCTTCCACCCTGTACCCTTGGAGACATAATCTGCAATTTACCTCCCTCACGATGCTCCAGGGCAGGGGCGGTGGGGGACCCTTAAGGTTGGGGTTCAACCTTTTTTTACATAATTCTATTCATTTTAGTTTTGATACTGTGTACTCATTTGTATTGATAGTAATTTGTATTTTATTTCACTTATTTTTTTTTAGTTATTATATATTGAAATTCAAATTTGCATGAATTGAATTGAGTTCGTATATATATCAAAATTCAACTTCGGATGAATTCAAATGATTTTTGCAAGGTGTTTGTGAAAATATAAATACAAATATAAGAATGAGAAAAGTAACATTCTTTTTTTTAACGAGGTTACAATCTACATCATTTGAATTTTTTTTGGATCAATTAATTAGCGATTTCTTTTGGATCAATTAAATAGATACATACGTGTAATTTTTTAAAACTTTAAATATGAATATGAATTCAAACATTGTAACACTGTATAAAGTTAAAAGTTAAGTGTGATTTTTTTTATTAAAAAGTAAATACAATGCCACTTTTATTAAAAAGTGATAATTGTCACTCAAGAAAGAGATAATTTAAAAAAAATAAAAATTAACAAACAATAAAGAGTGAAAATTTTCAAAAAAAAAAAAAGTGACAGAATATTAAAAAAAATGACAAACAATAAAAAAAGTGACGAAACACCAATCAAACACATGTTTTGTCACAAAAAAAGTGACGAAAATTTTAAAAAAGTAACAAAGAATTAAAATGACAAAAATTTCAAAAAGCGACGGAATATTAAAAGAAAAAAGTGACAAACCCTCGAAAAAGTGAAAAATACCAATTAAAACCTATGTTTGTCACTCAAATAGTGATAGAAATTTTTAAAAAGTAACCAACAATAAAGAAGTAACAAAATTTTTTAAAAAGTCGCAAAAATTCGAAAGAGTGCAAAATATCAATCAAAATCTATGTTTGTTACTCAACAAAGTGATAGAAATTTTTAAAAAAGTAACAAACAATAAAAACTGACAAAAATTCAAAAAGGAGTCAACAATAAAAATGTAACAAATTGTTTTTAAAAAGTCACAAAAATTCGAAATAGTGACAAAATATCAAGCAAAATCTATGTTTGTTACTCAACAAAGTGACAAAAATTTTTAAAATGTAACAAACAATAAAAACTGACAAAAATTCAAAAAGGAGACAGAAAAAGTGACAGGCACTATTCAAAAATGTGACAAACACACAAAAATTAACAAAAAATTAAAAAAAAAGTGACAAAACATAAATCAAAATCAATGTTTATCACTCGAAAAAGTTATAAAAATTAAAAAATGTAACAAACAGTAAGAAAAGTGATAAAAAAAAAGTGACAATAAAAGAAGGGGGGGGGGGGGGGGAAAAACCACAAAAAAAAAGAAGAAAGAGGGGGGGGGGGGGGGGGGGGACAAACACTCAAAAAAGTGAAAAAAAATTTAAAATAAATCATTTTATACAAATTTCACCACTCCATCACCACCTACCATCATTATATTAAACCCAGAAACCACTTGTCCAAATTAATGCTTTTCGGTTGTCTTGGAAAGCCTTGGTGTGCCTGTCACGACAAGGGATTCTACCTCCTTCGAATATTTCGACAGATAGTGTGTTATAATCGTCATCAACGTTAATCTCGAGTACGATCAAGAGGATTCAATAATTGAATACCGTTTGACGGTCATACCCTCATACACCAATCGAAACAAAAATTGGAAAATGTCCAAAACTAATGGAAAGCGACAAATAAACTATATATAATTACTAGTTTCTTTATTATCATTATAAAGATAAATGGCACCTGGAAACAAGCAGCACAAGTATCTTTCCTTCCACAAGCTTTGTCACA